GATCCCTTAACGAGTATGTTATATGGTTAGGGTTTCACTCTGCTCTTTCAAATGGTGGAAACAAACAGCGTTCTGAGTGGTGAACCATGCTTTAAGGGAAAATAAGCCCTGAGGACAACATAATATATTATTATAGCATTTATGCATACTTCATTTTGTCTTAAATTAGTGTAAAGGCTTGACTTAAGACAAGCGTTACATTTTGGGTTCGGATTCCCTTATTGTTAGGGCAGCACTGATACATAGATACTGAAGTTTGCCTAAGACTGGAAGGAGTTACACTCGCAAGGAGCAGATGTTAATTTTAGCAGCCTCCATTAAAGAAATAAATTCAACAACTGTTTATTAGATATAGCCCCAATGAAATTGTATGCATTTAATTATGTATTTTTGCATTGGGGATATATCTAAAAACAGCTTTTAAAACCCTCAGAACTCTTGTCTGCAGCCTTTACAAGCCCTCCCCTTCTAAACCCACCCAGACTTTCTGTGGCTGTCCAATCACAGACTTCGCAATGCAGCTTAATGAGAAGTCTTGGTAAGGCAGATAATCTGGTCAATCGCTGCCTCTTGAGTTCAATGCAACCAAGCTAACCGAACCAGGAAGTAACATGATCTGTTGTCTGCTTGAAAGTCAAGCGGGTGTAACCAATATAATGTATAACAGTGTCAATTGTTATTGAAATCTATTGAGTAAAAGAGAGGACACACACTTCATACATAAAGCCATTTACCAAGTTAAACTGCTTCAGGTGTGTGGAAAGGCCCTTTAATTAAGCCACTCTCTATAAAATATTACATCAGCAGAGGAACTGGGAGACAGAACTTCCTTGTTACTGGCTACTCAGCTCCTCTAACTCATTATCATTATTTGGAGAGCAGTAAATTATAGAGAAAAAAATATCTCTATAGGTGATAGCAAGTAATTCATCACCAAACATGGTTAAACTCCCTGCGCTCTGCTATTGTGTTGCATTTGTCTCTATGAATTTTGTAGCTCTATGAAATAAGTGCGTAAGGAATACCAGTTTAATAGACACATTCCCAACATTCTAATCCATGCTGACAGGAACATATTCAAGTCTGTACAAGACAGGTCCAACAATTTCTATATTCCCATGGAAACAAGTGCTCGACTGCATACCTGTCAGCAGAAACATAGAAATGGAATGATTGTAGATTACAGTATAAACTCTCCTTTCAGTCTTTTTAATCCATGTAGTTCTTATTTTGTAGAATGATATGGATATTTTATTGCAAAAAAAGTATCTTACAACACAATCCCTTGTAATTATGTATAAATATAATATAAAATGCAACCGTTATAAGAAAAGTCCATTTAGATTTAGCTGCCTCACATAAGAAAGCTTTATTAATTAATTTATTTATTTGTTTTCTGTGAATTTGTACAAATCTTGTGTTTGCTGCCTCAGCACTTATTTTTAGCAATCCGGCATTTATTGTAAATTGTAACCTCTCTAAAGAAGGCAAAATGTATGGAAAACCTATTAAACTCTGAAACCTATTTACCAAATCATTTTCTGTTAAAGAATGGTAAGACATTTGTTTACAATATAGAATGTGATGCATACAAACAGCGATTTTATGTATAAAATTATAACTTATTGTAATATAACTCTTAACCTATACTGATTTATTCACCCATACAATGCAGAAATTATCTGAGAGCCATACGGTAATACAGACTATATATATTATATCATGTTTTGCAGTACTCCTTTAATTGTAAAACATACAGTGGATGCTAAAATAAAAACCTTTTACAAGTAGTTTATTGGATTAGGAAATTAACGACTCCCTAGAGATTGGTTAAAATTAACAAGTATACTTGTTTTGACTTTGTATTTTTGGAACCCTGTCTCTCTCTCTCTTTTTTTAACGTGACCACTAAGAGCATTATTTTGTGTGGGCTATTGTCTGTCTATTCAAAATTGTATGTCTTGGCGTTAAATATATGATAAATCCATGAACTAAAGTATTAAAGTTCATGACAAATTTTGTAACGCAATGTTTTGTATATGTCTAATAAAAATAAAATTAATAAAAGAATAATAAAATTTAAAAAAATCAAATACCTGGTTTATGGTTTTTTGTACTATATTATGATTACTTGAACCTTTGGGCATTTTGGGAAATGTAGATTCCCACGATATAAACTGAATGCAAACAAAATAACTGCTTGCTTGCATAATGCCACTATTATGGAACATTTTACTTGATAATGTTATTGGCCACATTTCTAATCAAATATGTGAGACTCTATCACATATGCATAATCCAGTCCAGGGTGCATCTCATTCTGGTTTTTTGTTTTATGGTGGGAGCCCAATAACTATTTTAAGCAAAGCATGCTTAATTTATTGCTTCTCATAAAAGTAAAAAAAAAATAGAATTAAATATGAGTTTTTACTGCTCAAAGTTCAGATTGTTAGGATGCAGGGAATAGCAATAAAACAGGGATAATAATGTATGGCTTGGGACAGTTAAATGAAATATTTTTATTTCAGATTTTTTTTTCCAATTTGAATTTTATTGACTTTTTCGAGTATGCAAACTTGGGGCAGAAAGGAAGGGGAAGACAGGTTATCAGCATTCGTGTTTAAGCAGTTGTGCAGGTAGACAGTTACACCATTATACCAATATACCATTATACATTTATACATTTATACAGTTATACAATTATTCAGTTATACGATTATCCACTTTTACGTGGGTTCCCAGGAATATGTATATCTCCCCGCTAATCACCATTCTCGTGTAGGCAGTTGTACGGTTATACAGTCCTACTCTTATATCATTATATCCTTAGACTGTTGTATATGGGCTCCTAGGTTTATTTACATTTCCCCGTTATGTGGTTGACCAAGGTTGTCCCTGGCGTATCTCCCACTACCTGTTGCGTAATGTAAGCTGAGGCATTTGCTTGTACACCTAGTGGATGCTGATGACGCCACCTTTTGTGGGCCTTGATGGGTGGTTTGCTTTCTGCCCACTAGTGTGGTTATAGCTTATCTCCAGCTTCCCGCCCTCATACCTCGGATGTTATGCTAGCCTTCCAAGTCTTGTGTGCCTCAAGTATATGAGTGCGTTTCCCAAATTGTGCTGCTGTCATAAGTTCGTACTCCCAGTTTTGTTCTACCTGTTTTATCACATCCTGGATAGTGGGGGTTGTTGTTTTTTTCCATAACCTGGATATCGTCTGATTTGCTGATATGAGGGTGTGATAAAGAATCGTCCTAATGTGCTTCGGGATGCCCTTGGGCAACATAAACAAGATGCATGTTTGTGGGTTATCTAACCTGGGTGTCGGATATATTTTTTGTAAATGTTGGGTCACCTCCTTCCAGAATGGGCTAAGTGCGGCGCAGGACCACCAGGTATGTAGCATGGTCCCCACCTCACTCCCACATCTCCAGCATTTGTTGGTAGTGTTTGGCCACATCTTTTGGAGTTTGTCTGGTACTAAGTACCAGCGGTACAATAGTTTGCGTTGTAGTTCTAGGTGTGTGTGGCATGCTGTGAGTCCCTGATGCGCCAGATATGCCCGGTCCCAGGTGTGTTCTGGAAACGTCTGGCCTAACTCTTGGTGCCACGCCAGTTTGATCTTATCTAGTGTTTGTGTTCGTGTTGCTATTAGCTCCTGGTATCCCCATGATAGGGTTTTCCCCAGTGTCTTTTTGCCCACACAGTGTTTTTCAAGTCTCGTCATGTTCAGTTCATCGTCCCATTTATCTTCGGCGTCTAGCTTAC